CAAAAGTGTGAGGAAAGATTCCAGCACTGCTTGTGATAAGGAGATTTTTATTATTTTAACAATTCCGACGCGTTTCGGCCTAAGGGCCTTCCTCAGGGGACCACAGAAGCTCAAACTTGTGTGAGACGCTAGAACAGACCTCACGGGTTCTCGCGTGTGTCACGCACACACATTTGAGCATCTTCTTTTCCTTTTAATGGTGATTGGCAAACCTACTGGAAGGTGCATACCACCACCTACTGCACGACACCCACATGACAGCTCACGTAAAATAAGGATCAGGCTTACAATAGCCTATACTGATCAGTTAAAAAAAATGCTTAATCACCCCCGATCCTTTAGAGATGGACATTTATAAAAAATATAGCATTTGAATATTTGAATATTCGTTTATTTAAATGACGTTTAATTAGAAAGAAGTTTTTTTTTAATCAAACATTATTTTTCGTGTGATACAGAATAGCCGCTGAAGTAATGTGGCAGACGCATCACGAATGAAATGTTGCATGCATTATTTTAAAAATAATGCATGCAACATTTCATAAATCAATATTAACTTCTCCATTGTCGTTCAGTTGTTGACTGAACTGACTGAAGACTGACAGTGATGAGCGCTGCGTTTTGCCCAAAGTTTAACATTTATTAGAGCTTTGTTGTGCTGCTGGCATCTTAAAAAACGTGGCGCTCCCGTTGAAAACTATTTAAAAAAAATGCTAGCTTCGGGAAAAAAAACACTTTGGTGGATACACGGCCTTAGTCTTAAAAAGCCAGCTGCATAGAAAATTAGTGGTCTTCTCAGCTCACTCGGGGTACATTTGCACTTACCTGCAGTAGTGAATGCAGTGATGTGCCGCTGTTTTTCTTCATTCGACTGGTCATGACATTCCAGTTTTGTATTTCACATGATTCCTCATTTAGTATAGTTTCACTTGACAAAGTTTGCATGCTCAGATTTATCAGGGATTCACTAGGCTACATTTACGGACAGCAAAGCAACATTTTAGCGAAATTCGAATAGTCTTTTTATTTTTCGAATAATTATTGCAGATAGAATATTCGACTATTCGTGCACACCCCTACTCAGGACATCCCTATTTGTTATAATAGTTTGTCATTTCTCCTATCACAAATGCAGACATGGTTTTATGTTTATGTAAACATACGCGCCGCGTATGTACGCGCTTTGTAAAAATCAACACGTTTCAGAACGGCGGGGCATAGAGGAGAAACAATAATGTACAGTATGTGGAAAATAATGTGTTTTTTTAACCTTAAACCGCATAAACACATTTCATTACACCAAATACACAAAATACTGTTATTTTTAGCAGCATCATATGACCCCTTTAAATAGTCAGTTTCAGTACTCACTAAGCTGGTCCTGCAGCAGGTTCCTCTGAAACCCTCCACCTCCCCCAGCTCCACCTGTCTCGATCTGATACAGGATTTATGTATGGCTATTCATGTAGCAGTGGCATTTCTTTCATGTCACAAAAGCTTGTCTGTAAATGTATTAACAGTAACAAGTCCATGTTTGCTCTGCAGAAGCGTGCATATCAAATCTAGTCTGCCAAGACCAAATATTTGCTTATCCATGTCCATTAACATGCTAAAGCTATTTTGGGAGTTGTCATAATTGAAATTACACTGCTGTAGTGGGCTAATATAAGTAATTTTTATTGATTTATTTGCATTTATGCAAGAAATAGAAAACCCTTAAAAACAGTAAATGCAAACAGCAACCCTAGGAGATAACAGAAGTTACCTTGAAGCTGCTCTTAATCACAACCACAAACACAACCTGATCCACAAAGTGACTGGATCACAAGCTTCTCCTTTTGCTTATTTTCCTCCCTAGAATCCAGAAAACTTTGTTATTAATGACACCGGTGGGCGTTAAATGAACTGCAGCCAGCTACTTACTGCTTATGTGCACATACTCCATATAGTGATTTGAGCAAGCATCAGCCAAAAAAGTAACACTCTCTATCACTGCATTACCTGGCAGAGCCAGTGAGTTACTGTACAAGTTCAGCTGGATATTGTGAAATTGCAAACTTGTGATGTTTCACTAGAGAGCAAATATGAATAAAGGCTTGCCAACATATTAGAAAATATCATATACTGTATCTGTGCCACACACTTCAAATTACCAACTCCCATCTCTTGTAGCTCCCTGTGTATTTATTAGCAGTTATTGACCTGGCATCAAAATTGATCAGTTTTGTAAGAGGTTATTAATCTATCTTTGGTGGTATTAGCTTTTAAAGATGATGGTGATTTTTGCTGTATTGCAAAGCAAATAAAGACCAATGTTATTCCTCAGAGCATCTGATAAGTTTCCACATGAGTTGTCATATGGGACACACTGAGAAAGCCTTAAAGGGGTCATATGATGCGATTTCAATTTTTCCTTTCTCTTTGGAGTGTTACAAGCTATTGGTGCATAAAGAAGATCTGTAAAGTAGCAAAGACTAAAGTCTCAAATCCAAAGAGATATTCTTTATAAAAGTTAAGAGTCAGCCATGCCTACCTAAAACGGCTCGTTCTAACACGCCCCCACATGTCTACGTCACCATGTGGGAAGATTTGCATAACACCACCCAAATGTTCACGCAAAGAAAGAAGGTGTAACTTTTATTCTCGCTGTAGTATTGTTGCCGCCGCCATGTCCTGAAGACGCTGTGTGTTTCGTTGTGAACTCCGTTCACACTGCCAGTGACTTTTTTGCTGTATGTCGCTAGGGCGTTCCTACTGCTGTCGCTCTAATGTTATTGGTAGACTGCACGTTTTGGCATATCTTTAGAAAATGCAATCACAAACTATATATATTGCGGTAAAACTAAGATATCCTTCTAATATGACTAGGAATTAGACTTAAAAGAAATAAAAGTACCATTCTGCTGTTGTTATATAAACTACAGCAGTGCTCATGCATTAAACCATTAACCGGTGCTAAACTGCTCACTGCATCATATAATTAACAACTTGAACCATCAATGTATGAATCTAATTCACTTAGACAGCCAACAGTTTATTTTCTACGCATCATTTTTTAAATATCCATGTATGTGGTTACAGTCAAATCATATAAAACAGTGAAATCGCTCAGGAAATCTGTCCTGTCTTGCCTGCATTCGAGGCGGTGACGTGTGAGTGCCACTGACAGATTCTTCACTCCTATTGGTTGTTGCTCGCGAAATTCGCTGTTCATTTGCATAAAGTTAAAAATTTCTTAACTTTTGTCGCTCGACTCGCATCGCTTGACACGCCCACATTCCGTCGCCAACGGTCACTGTCGCTCGTGTCGCCGGAATTCGCCAGTTCTACGTTGAAAATGAATGGGATTATGTCGCTTTGTCGCTGTGTGTCGCTGGCGGTGTGAACAGGGCTTTAGAGGACAGAGATTACTTTATATTAAATTGGGTCAAACGTTTTCTGCTTCATATTAGCACAGCAATAACCAAGGCTGCATATAAATAGGATTTTGAAATCTTTTATAAAATTTTAGAATATATTTAATAGATAACTTTTTGGATAATGTGAAATAGCACATTTCCAATAAATCTTCCAGCTGAGAGTCTATTTCTGTTCTTCTTCAAGTTTTCATCACTAACTAAAGTGTTCAAAAGTATATAAACCAAAAGTAGTGCGTTTTTGCCTCAGAGGGAAAGCGAAAGAGAGGCTGATGCACTAGGCCGAAATCAAATTTTTTCATCAGCTGTTGAAATCATTTTGGAGGAAGACAGGGAAGTTGAAATAAGCAATGTGTCACGATCACCAGCTGGAGTGCCCTTGATAATCACCAGAGGGCACTCCATCCCACACCTTTGCCACTCTATCCTGGACTGCATTCCCCATAATCCTTTGCACATTCATCAGCACTCATTGTTTGCACCTGTGTCTTGTTAGCTCACCCTATAAAACCCCGGTTCTCTTTGGCATTCACTGCTAAGTCTTTGTATGTGTCTGTACTGCAATTCTAAGACTGGTTTTGTTTCTCTGCCTGTCTTTTTTGTTGTTTGTTATTCATTATTTAGTATTTGTTATTTCTGAGGATGGGAAATAGATACAATGTTAATTTGAACGGCACAAATCGTGCACAAATGAATGGCATAGTTTTGTTGATCATTTCTTTTTATGGGGTGCCAACTTCACAGAGATCCCTTTGCCTGTGTTTTGCCCTGTTTTTATTTTTTGGACTGTTTGCCCGTGTATATGACCTTCTGCCTGTTTCTGTATTACGCCTTTGGATTACCCATCAGTAAGCACTCCACTTGGATCCTCAACCTTTATGTCCCCGTGCAGTTTCATAACACAGTGTTTGAATACTGAGACAATTATATCTTAAAATGTAAAGAAAATAAAAATAAACGGTTTGTACATCTCATCTACATCTGAATCTGAATTTGTACTGAGCAAAGTTGAGGTGACACAAGACAGGAAGAGCTGCACGAAAGGTCAGACGCAAGATTCTTCCAATGGTGCTGAGAGATTCTCCATAGCAGCTGTGCAAACTAGAGGGGCTGGAATTGGAAACAAGAGAGTGAGAGATTGAAGAAGTGCAATGCATGTTAAAAAGCTGGCTACATTGCAAGGCGTCGTCCAGACAATGAGAGACCTCATCAAGACTTGTCTGTCATGCAAGTGGAAAGATGTGACACAAGACAGCGCCACTTTTCTCGCAAAAGATAAATGGGCTATCAAGGTTTTAAGTAGGCAGTTTAGCGACACAATTGGCACTGTTGACACCTTGTCAGATACATCAGTGCATGAGCAATATGGCTGATGCTGTATCTGGTATTTTAGATACCAGAGCAATCTCACAATTCTTGTTGCCAATTTTAGTATCACATGAAAAATGAATAAAAGGCTAAGTAATGTAGGGAAAATATTCTCAAGGAATTGTTGAAGACAATGAAATCATCAACAAATACAACAGAAAGAAAATGCAAAATGAGCAGCAGTGTGATTTTGTTGTTGTTGTCTGTTTTCTGCAGGATGCCTTACAGAGGATAATTGCCACATTAGCAAACAAAAATGAGGAGCTCCAGAATTTCATTGAAACGCTAAATCACACTTTGGGTCGAGTTCAGGTGAGTACTCTAAAAGCATAACAAACTGAGCGACGCTGTACGGTGTTCAGCTGTATACAACATTACTATATAGAGCAGCATGTCTCGTTTATACCACTAGAGATGCTAGAAGAGATTTTTCTAATTCTGGGGGATAGTAACCGGTATGAATGCCAATACCAAATAAGGTTTATGTAAATCAAAATGAATAAGCTTTGAAAAAATTGAGGTTAAAAATTATGGCCCAGAAAGTCTCATAATTTGACTTTTTGTCATAATTTTGATTTGTCTTGATTAGTGGTCGACCGATATATCGGCCGATATTTGGCATTTTTCAAATATCGGCATTGGCCGATAAGTTTTTCTGTTTGGCCAGTGCGTTCGAGGCTGGACTTTTATTTTGACGGCGCCTGAGCAGCACACAGTGTTCACATTCTCCCTCTTGTTCGCCGCCGTCGTTAACAGTTCTGTCTAATACGGATAGAAGTCCGTCTAATAATCCGATAGAACTGTTAAACAAAGGAATTAAAATGTATACAAAAGTGTTATAACGATTGCTTTTATATTATTCCGGACGCTCCTTCATCGAATCCGCCGGCCTCGCCGTTCTCAAGCCCGCCGCCTCTGCTCACTCTAGCCGGCCGCCGCTAACTCTAGCCCCTGGCCTCTGCTCACTCTAGGCCACCGTGTGTGACGCTGTGTTTTGTTGTGAAAGCGAGTCCGTCTAATAATCCGATAGAACTGTTAAACAAAGGAATTAAAATGTATACAAAAGTGTTATAACGATTGCTTTTATATTATTAGTAATAGAAAGGCAAACATTATAATACTTTCTCGTTTGCCGTCAGCATTCAGCAAATACGCATTTATATCATTTAAACAAATCTTTGAATGACTAGTTAACATCTAATTTCCAAAACATAATTTCTCAAACTTAGTTGGATCCAGTTGTGAGATCTTGTGAAGTGTGCATGTATTTTTATATTTAAAGAGTTTTTATATTTTATATATTTTTTATATTTAAAGCAAGTTTTTTGGGCAGTGTAGGGTAGCGCTTGTTGTTTGTCATTTCTCCTATCACAAATGCAGACATGGTTTTATGTTTATGTAAACATACGCGCCGCGTATGTACGCGCTTTGTAAAAATCAACACGTTTCAGAACGGCGGGGCATAGAGGAGAAACAATACAAATGTATTTTTTAATCCATGTTCAAATGATTCAATTTCAAATTTCTTAAATATTAATGAAAATAAATACAATTATATCGGCTTTATATCGGCCACCCTGCTTTCCAAGATATCTGCATCGGCTGTCAAAACACCAATATCGGTTGATCACTAGTCTTGATTTCTTGATCTCATAATTTCTAGCTTTTATCTCTATTTTTATGAAGCATCTCATAACTTTTTGTTATAACTATGATTTACCATACCTACACTCTAAAAAATGCTGGGTTATTTCAACCCAACTTTGGGTCAAATTTGGACTAACCCAACTTTTGGGTTAAAAATTTAATGTAAAAATTTAACCCAACAGTTGGGTTAGTCCATATTTAGTGTATTAGCTCTGCATTTGCTAAAAGTGAAATGTTGGAAGCTGCCTGAGATTACTGTAAGATTACGGGTAGTTATACTTGCTTTCACATTTTTTCTCCCTTCATTTTAAAATGTTGTCATGTTTCAGGTCAACTCCACACAGGTGGTGTCGGATTTAGAGGAGGAATTCGACACGCTGTACTCCATCCTAGATGAGATGAAAGAGAGTATGACCAACACCATCAAACAGGACACAGTCCGGAAATCACATGAGCTTCAGGTACCAGCCTTAACCCAAACTACCTCAAAGGACTTTGGGATTGGCACATGAACCCTCAAACTAATGTAGAATCAACATAAGAAGTAATTCAAATGATATTAGTTTAATGGCATCTTTATACCAAGTGTTATCAAGCTCAGTAATGCTAATATCGATCCAAATACTAATGCCTCATAAATTGAGCCATTTTAATAATCAATTTAGTCATCAAAAGTCATCCATTTTTAGGCTTAAATAGACCTAAACTGTATACTGTCAGAATACTCTTTCAGTTTATCATTCATTAATAACAGGAACAAAGTTATAACAACTTTTGATTTAGATACATTTATAATAATCACCAAGTAAACCTGTTAATAAATGTCACTTTTAGCTTTGTCTTAATTTAGTTCAATCTAACTCCAGGTGATGTTGCTCTGTCACATCATTAGAAACACTCAGAAACTATTTTTATGTGAAGATCAGCATTAGTATCAAGGGGATCAACAGGGTCTGTCTGTGAATCCCTACTGATTTAATAAAGCATTCACACTTTCATTATCAGTTGGGCGCTCTCTCAGGAAAGATGTATTTGTAATTATTTTTAAGACTTAAGGAGCCTTAAACCAGCACTGCTCATATTTCGAGCAGGATTATAGGTTCAGTTATCGCATAGCTTTGTTTTTGTTCAAGTTTCTGGTAAGTGTGTGTGTGTGTGTGTGTGTGTGGTTGGGCTGGTGCTGTAATGGCAGTATTGTGCCCAGCCCTCTAAGTCCACTGAACAGGAACAATACCAGAGAGAGCAATGAGCTTAGATAAGTGATTAGCCATCAGCACCCTTCCCATCCTTAACCGCAGAACAGTACGTAAACACGCCGGCTGCTGCTCATTACTGACAGCTACAGAAACCTTTATAGGGTACTTTTTAAGGATTCTGTTATCTGTAGCTTCTGTATGTCCTTCATGCTTCTCAAGTTCTTCAATTTGTACATATGTGACCCTGGAGCACAAAAGCAGTGTTGAGTCGCTGGGGGATATTTGTAGCAATAGCCAACAATACATTGTATGGGTCACAATTATACATTTCTCTTTTATGCCAAAAATCATTAGGATATTAAGATCATGCTCCATGAAGATATTTTGTAAATTTTCTACTGTAAATATATCAAAACTTAATTTTTGATTATTAATATGCATTTCTAAGAACTTCATTTGAACAACTTTAAAGACGATTTTCTCATTATTTAGATTTTTTTGCACCCTCAGATTCCAGATTTTCAAATAGCTGTATCTCGGCCAAAGATTGTGCTATCCTAACAAACCATACATCAATGGAAAGATTATTTATTCAATTTTGAATGGTTTTGTGGTCCAGGGTCACATATTTTATCACTAGACACTGCTTTTATCTTTCTAAACGGAGCCTCTTTCTGGCCATTCTGGATATTATAGAAATACTTTTTTAATGGTTTTTGATGTTTTACTTGTTTTTTTTGTTTTTTGTTTGGTTTTTTTAACCTTCTTCAGAACATGAAATATTAAGGATGCACTGGTATAAAAATTCTGATTACCAGTGTGATTGCTGATATTATATACTATTGTAATTATTGTATTAAATTGACTTCACATTGACCCACATAGCAGCATCAACAATAAATTTGTAATTTACTTTATGTGTGCATGTTGTTGATAAAAATAGTATTCATGAGAATGCTGTAGTGTGGGACGGTCAGGGAGCTCGCACTGAAGAAACCTCTGGGGTAGTGAGCAGATTTCTTTCAGTTCAGTGGACATGTAGGGTAAAGCTTTGAGTGTTATGTCATGTTTCTTTAGAACTCATTTTATGTGCAAGCATAAGAATCTTAGAATCTTAATAATAGCAGCCGGTATGCTGCTTTGACTCCACTCAGCAACAGCTGTATGACTCATATCACAACCGTGAAACTGATCTTGCTCAACAATAACAGCAGTGTAGTTTTTTGTGCACGGCAGATATGAGATGGGTCTTTTAATCCAGGCACAAGTGGTCACTGAAAATGCACTGGAGACAAATGGTAATGCCAGGTGCAGTTAGTAATGTGTTACAGCTGTCCACTTGTGATCGGATCACCCGAGATTCAGGTCTTAACAGGTCCTTAGTGGTGAGGATTTTTCAGTGAGTCACATTGATACATTAGTAGGTGGTCTTTATAAGTGAGTCATTGTATCATGCACTCAACTGATTTGTTGAAATATACAGATTGATTCAGGAATGCCTTGCTTTGTTTGGAACATGGTTGTTGGGGCAAAAATAGTAACTGGCAAATTTTTTTTCTACCATGTAACTCAATATTATCTTAGTAACTCTTAATAGAATGGTTTTGTGGTCCAGGGTCACATATTTTATCACTAGACACTGCTTTTATCTTTCTAAACGGAGCCTCTTTCTGGCCATTCTGGATATTATAGAAATACTTTTTTAATGGTTTTTGATGTTTTACTTGTTTTTTTTGTTTTTTGTTTGGTTTTTTTAACCTTCTTCAGAACATGAAATATTAAGGATGCACTGGTATAAAAATTCTGATTACCAGTGTGATTGCTGATATTATATACTATTGTAATTATTGTATTAAATTGACTTCACATTGACCCACATAGCAGCATCAACAATAAATTTGTAATTTACTTTATGTGTGCATGTTGTTGATAAAAATAGTATTCATGAGAATGCTGTAGTGTGGGACGGTCAGGGAGCTCGCACTGAAGAAACCTCTGGGGTAGTGAGCAGATTTCTTTCAGTTCAGTGGACATGTAGGGTAAAGCTTTGAGTGTTATGTCATGTTTCTTTAGAACTCATTTTATGTGCAAGCATAAGAATCTTAGAATCTTAATAATAGCAGCCGGTATGCTGCTTTGACTCCACTCAGCAACAGCTGTATGACTCATATCACAACCGTGAAACTGATCTTGCTCAACAATAACAGCAGTGTAGTTTTTTGTGCACGGCAGATATGAGATGGGTCTTTTAATCCAGGCACAAGTGGTCACTGAAGATGCACTGGAGACAAATGGTAATGCCAGGTGCAGTTAGTAATGTGTTACAGCTGTCCACTTGTGATCGGATCACCCGAGATTCAGGCCTTAACAGGTCCTTAGTGGTGAGGATTTTTCAGTGAGTCACATTGATACATTAGTAGGTGGTCTTTATAAGTGAGTCATTGTATCATGCACTCAACTGATTTGTTGAAAAATACAGATTGATTCAGGAATGCCTTGCTTTGTTTGGAACATGGTTGTTGGGGCAAAAATAGTAACTGGCAAAATTTTTTTCTACCATGTAACTCAATATTATCTTAGTAACTCTTAATAGTTAACATTTGATATTGCTTAAGCATCTTTCAAGAAATATTACACTCGTGGTTGTGCTGTTGGCCTGAATGTCAGCACTGCTGTGATTCCCAAATGTTATTTTAGTATTATTGAGATACTATTATAGTTGTTTTTAATACTTTAAAATAGTTTTTCTTTTTGTGTTTTCCATTTTCATTTTAGTTAGAGTTTTAGTAATTTTGTTGTTTTGTCATTTTTATGTTATTGCATTTTTTTAAAGTCTGTAGATTTTATTCATCTTCATTTCAGTAATTTTAGTACATCAAGTTAAACTAAATGAAACTGAGAAACTAGCTGAAATAACAAAAAAGTCAGTTTATTTATTTCAAGCAACAAAAATAATAATAATAATTTTTATGGTTTTAGTTAGCTGTAATAACTCTAATTTGCTGTCACACTCGGCCAGTGTCTATGTGCCTGCAACACTTGCTTGTGTGATTTTGCTTCAGTATGAAAAATGCACATCTGTTTGAAAGCCTTGTATAGAAAAAAGATTACACTGTTTGAATTAGAAAAATATAAGCACAGATATAATCAACTAGCGCAAATCATTTCAGAATCACTAATAATGATCAACTTTTATTTCTTCTCCAGAACCAGCTGACCCAAAGCACCAGTGCATTAGAGAGTGCAGAGGAACTTTTGGAGTTTGCTAATAATGCGCTGCACATTACAGATGAGGGGGATTTCACAAAGGTAGACGCATGCTGATGTTTTTGATAAAGGATACTTGCAACTCAGGACATCAATTATTTAATTCAGTAAAATGCTTTTTTTTTCCCATTTTATTTACTACGCAAAAGCCAAGAATTAAAACAAGAACTATATATACTAATCCTGCTTATTGTCTGGAACTTGATTTTTTTCACCTGTGTAATGCTAATGGAAAAAAAAACGATCTGTTCATTTAATGTGAATCTGTTACAAACTAATGTGTATACAAAACAGTCTGTTAAACTGCTCATCAACCTGTGCTTTATATGTTTAGGATCCTGATTTACCCTCTTGTGTGTGTGTGTGTGTGTGTGTGTGTATCCAGTCCAGCACTGAGCTGAGCTGAATTGCATGCTTACACCTTACCTGCATGGCGATACTAACGTCCTGCTCTTTTTTTCCTCTCTTCCTCGTTATCTTCACCCTCAAGGCTGCCAAACAGATCAAAGATAGGTACAGTATATGTTCCACTCTCTGTATGTGGTTGTGTGACCACTGCATGACACATACGTTCACGTAGTTTGTTTTGCTCTATCTATCTGTCTGTCTGTCTGTCTGTCTGTCTGTCTGTCTGTCTATCTATCTATCTATCTATCTATCTATCTATCTATCTATCTATCTATCTATCTATCTATCTATCTATCTATACGCTAGTATAAAGACACGTTCTCATTGTCAACCCACAAAGTTCAAGATTGTCTCTGAATAAATTGATTTTTAAGAGTTTTACATAAAGAGCTAATTTGAGGGAAGCCTGTTGTGGAAGGGGGACGGACGCCGCTGATGATCTCCACCGGGGGAAATGAGAGATTATGGAATATAGCTGACGGGAATTGCCAAGTGTGGGAGTGGAGTCATTAAAAGTATTGCTGATAGTTTGTTTTGCTCTATCTGTCTGTCTATCTATCTATCTATCTATCTATCTATCTGTCTATCTATCTATCTATCTATCTAGCTATCTATCTATCTATCTATCTAGCTATCTATCTATCTATCTATCTAGCTATCTATCTATCTATCTATCTAGCTATCTATCTATCTATCTATCTAGCTATCTATCTATCTATCTATCTAGCTATCTATCTATCTATCTATCTAGCTATCTATCTATCTATCTATCTAGCTATCTATCTATCTATCTATCTAGCTATCTATCTATCTATCTATCTAGCTATCTATCTATCTATCTATCTAGCTATCTATCTATCTATCTATCTATCTATCTATCTATCGCCTGCTATAGATTTACATTCATTGGGATTGAATGTAATACAGCCTGATTGTTGGAAGCTTCTACTGTGAGCAGTGAGGCTTATTACACAGTTTTAAAATGTGGTCAAATTATTTGTACATTTATGCAATGGGAATGTCAACTTTAAAACTGTGGGGTGCTAAAATGGGTAAAATGAATGAAATAAAACCTGCTAACAGACTCTATTTTACTGCTATCCAGCACACTAACACCTGTTTCACACCGCATGAGCGGGATGGGAGTAGCTTGTCAGCAAAATTTTGGAAAATGCCAGGAAATGTATGTATTTTGTAAACACCGTAGCTACGAAGAGATCTGAAGCACAAGTACACATAACTTGACCATATTCAGTGGGATCCAAAACTCCGAGAGCACTCAAAAGTGGTATTTTTATTTATTTTTAAATAAAAGACTGAACTACACCACAGTCACATGACTTCAACTTCACCACCATTAAGTTTTCGACAACTCATATAGATCCAGTGGAACGACTCAGCTGTAACTATAGTTATAACAAATAACTAAACTATGATATTTTGCTCTTTTAGGGTCACAATGGCTCCTGCCTTCCGCTTGACTCTGAAGCCCAAAGCCACAGATAATATGACCCACCTGATGGTGGACTTCAGTCAGGAGAGACCGCTTCTGCAGGGCCTCAAGTTCCTCCCCGGTAAGCTAATCACTCATTTGTTCTTTAGCCGCTTGTATTACAGGATCAACCCATCTTGAGTTTGAGCCTACAGCCTTTGAGTTTCCAACCCAGCATCTAGTTACTAAACCTGTGATAGAAGAATCTACTATAACCTGTTCTGTAAATATGACGATTATGATTCTTATCATCATAGAAATGTTTCCACACCCAAAGGATCTTAACATTCATTTAAAAGAATGTTATTGGTATGTTTACTAAAACATCTAAAATATGCCATTTCACATAACCCTAACACTCCGATATTACATGTGTTGAATGACTCTGTGTTGGCATGAATACTTGAATACAAAAAAAACTGTTATGTTCCACTCTTTTATTTCATGTCAGCTAAATAAGTAAACCCCATCACTTTTCATGGGTACTCAGTACAAAACTTATTTTGCATTAAATGGCCTATCAGAGTTGTTAAAGGAAGAGTTCACCCAAAAATACAAATTTTATGAAGATTTACTCTCCCTCAGGTTATCCAAAATGTAGATGAGTTTGTTTCTGTTCACATGTGTATTCGTGCGTCAGGGTGACTCTCTGCAATTTTGTGTGTCACTCTGGTTTCGTGTATCATGATGCACCAAATCCAGAAATTTTAAAATACCACAAAACATTTTTTTTGCATCACCTGCCTGTAACGAAGTAAACCCGCAGTGCACAAGTAAATGTTGAAAAATGCTGTTTCTGCTTTCACACGTGACGATTGCAACAGCACTGCAGAAAACACTGCCTATAAATGCTGGGCAATGGTCACCCTGGACACTAAAATTGGACCGTTTTGGTACAATAGACTGTACTAACAACTTAAAGCATGTATGATTTGTCTCCTTCAAGGTAATATATGTGAATCAAAATCCTCAATTCCCTGTTCTGATCTTCCCCACGTAGTGCCAAGAGCTCCAGAGATAGTGCTCGGGGACTGTCTGGTCATAGATAATGAGGTGACTGTCGCCTGGAGGATGCCGGCGGAGGACAGCAAGATTGACCATTACATCTTAGAGTACAGAAAAACCAGCCATGAGGGTCTGCCGCGTGTGAAGGACGAGCAGTGCTGGGAGGTGGTGGACGACGTCAAGAGCACTGAACACACCCTACAAGGTGCTGACAGCGCTGTGCTGCTCAAAATATCCTCAACATATTCTACATCTCCCACTTTTATGCATGAGGGAAACTGTTCTATTCATTCGGCAGGGTTAAGATTTGACACCAAATTCATGAACTTCCGGGTAAGAGCATGTAACAGAGCAGCTGCCGGTGATTATTCGGACCCAGTCACATTGGAGACTAGAGGTATTAAAGCATGTAAAAATCATAGATCTATGCATATATATAATAAATTATATATATGTATATAATGTTTTTTTCTAAAAGTTTGGGGTCAGAATTTTTTTTTTACACAAATGAATACTTTTATACATCAAGGATGCATTAAGCTTCCTCAAAAGTGAGAGTAAAGACATTTAAAATGTTGCAAAAGATTTCCGTTTCAAATAAGTGCTGTTCTTTTGAACTTTACATTCATCAAAGAATCCTGAAAAAAATATGTATTACAGTTTCCACAAAAATACCAAACTGTTTTCAGCATTGATGATAATCAGAAATGTTTCTCGAGCAGCAAATCAGCATATTATACTGGTTTCTGAAGATCATGTGACGCTGAAGACTGGAGGAATGATGCTGGAAATTCAGCTGCGCAGCACAGGAATACATTACATTCTAAAATATATTCAAATAGAAAATAAAGCAATAAGCCCCAAGAAGCCGTGGCTTACAGTGTATTTATAACCGCTAAGGGGCGTTGTTAGGCACGAGCAGTTATAAATTCACTGTAAACCACAGCTTCACAGGGGTTATTGCTTTTATAAAACGGTTATTCCATAAGGTTTCACAAACTAAAACAGAGCAAATAAAGTGTAATGATATTAATAAAAACAGTATTCTTCAGCCAAACAATGTAGCTCCTCAGAATCAGTTGTGGTTGCAACAAACTGCTTGCCGAGCAACACACAGACGTAAACATAGGTGTGTGTTTGTAGTGTATTTTACAACAGCTTCGAACGCGGCTCAGCCAATCAGAGTCAAGGACCGGAACTATCTGTTTTATAACAGCTATTTTAAATAGTAGTAATAATAATAAGTTTAAGATGGATTTCAGTAAGTTGGCTTTCTCAAGCCAACTTAATTATATTTCACAACCCCAAACTTTTAAACAGTAGTTTTATTAGTAAAAACATATGGTGTTGAATTGTCCTGCCAGTACTTCTGCGATCTTGATGGTGGTGCCTCTCTGTGTTAGCATTTAACTTCGGCTTTGACTCCACGTCATCTCATCTGAATCTGAAGGTGGAGGACAGGAGCGTAGAATGGGATCCTCAGGGAGGAAAAGGAGTCGACAGCAAAGTCAAAGGGAAGGAGAACAAGGGAAGGTAAGAAGTTTAAGACACAGCATGGATGAGATGAAACATGCAGCAGATGAGATTTCAATATAGTTTAGACATTTCTGCTTTATCACACTGAAACCTGTATATATTATGTGATGTGTCTTAGGAGGTTTTCAGGTTTGGCTGGTAGTGCTCGGGTTTATTAAGCAGCACATCAATTAGTGTAAAGCCCTATCTGGAATGTGAAACAGTGTTGTTATTGTTAAAGTGCCCTTATTACGCCATTTTTTAGGTTCTTCGTATTGTTTTGGGAGTCTCCTACAATAGGTTTACATGCATGCAAGGTCAAACAATTTAGTTCAAAGCACTTCTTCTCGACATGAACAAGCTGCACGTGTTTGAGGGCGGGGTCAAGTTGTTCGTGACCAGCCAATGTAGAACAGAGGCGGGCATTATGCAAATGTGTTACCCTGTGACGTGGTGTAGCCGTCTCGGAAGTGTGATTCAAGTCTGACAACTCGTTTAGGCTGTTCAGAGTCGATTCTTTATTTCGGGAGACAATAACTTTATTTATCGAGCACTGTCAGCTTTACAACTTTGCAGATCGTTTACATTCCCAGACAGCTACATTACACACTGCATGAAAAGCAATATTTGAAATGGCATAATAGGGGCACTTTAGCTAAAGTGTTTTTGGTAACTGAAATATAAAATAATAAAAGTCGAAACAACAAAATTACTAAAACTAAACAAAAAAATGAATACTGAGAAAATTATATAATAAAATTACAAAAATTTTAACTAAAATGAAAAGATAAAAACGGAAAGCTAAAGCTAATTCAAAATATTCAACATAAATACTATAATAGTATATAAATAACACTGATGTAATAATCTAAATAATTACTTATCCATAACTGAATAGACTGTCTCGGTAATTTTGTTCACTTGCCAATAAAGACTGCAGCCTCTTTTACTTTCTATAAAACTGTAAAAATAAAAGCAGTCGACACACTCATGGCAGGCAGTGATCTTTACAGAGATCACTTATTCTCTACAAATCAGCGATATGCATTACAGACGTCCATCATTTGATGCTCACTTAATCTGTACAAACAAATTGTAAATTAATAACACTGTTAAAATTAGTCTAAAATAAATAGATGTATTTTTCATACTCTACATTACAATGTTGTAATGTCTATATTAACTTTTGGCATTAAAAACGACTGATTTTAGTTTATAGGTTTAAATGATTTCCACAACAGTAGTGTAGAATTGGCAATAACATAAAAACGATCCGTTTCTTTTTTTTTAACGCCGTTGCATCCCTAATAACTCCCTGCTCTTGTTTTTCCTTTTCTACCAATCAGCAGTGCACATTTCACCAATCTGAAGAATATGTCAAGGTGACGGTGTGTCTCTTAGCAGTGGTGTTTAGCTCTTTCTGACAGCAATAAAGCAAGCGCTGGCTTTCCTAGAGCCTTTAGAGCAGCTTCATGAAAAAGGATTACAGATCACTGGAGAACTTTAATCTGCCTTTTATCTTTCAGTGCCTTCATATTTTAGTTCCAAGATTACAAAATATCAATCATCGTAAAGGATGCATTTCTTCACAATTTTTTTTTCCAAATTCAATGATCCTTATTTATGAAATGCCTATTCTTCTGAGGAGTTTTCTGTCTTTCTAAACTGAGTGACAGTATTGGTTATGGATTTTGCATGTGCAGCTTGTGAGTGTTACTGAAAATAGATTCAATATTATACAGTGGGGAAAAAAAGTATTTAGTCAGCCACCAATTGTGCAAGTTCTCCCACTTAAAAAGATGAGAGAGGCCTGTAATTTTCATCAATTATGTAATGTAGAAACATTAGTTCTGACAATGACTGTACTTGACATCTTTGCTGTCCCCTCTCTCTCTCTTTGGAACTTGGCCACTGTGTTTAAAAGAAAGGTCATCAAATGATGGCCTAAATATTCGATTTGCAACATTTAATCAAGCGTTGCTTTTTCATGCTCACATCCTTATGATTGTGGTGAGTAAGCTATCGTCTGAAATCACCGCTCTTGTGCTTTTCTCATCACTCATTCCATTATGGCAAACAAAGTGCACTGAACCACATGGATTTTGCATGTCATTACACCTGTCATGCATTGTAATGAAACCATCTGGTATGCAAAGAAGCCCGTGATAATGCTCCGTCATTTATGACGTCTGGGTCAGCCTTTGGGTCGTCCTTCACCGGCCAGCTGTTCATTTGCTAATTTGTGGGATCATATGGCTTACGGAGGAGAAGAGATCTTGAGCCTTAATCATTCCTTTTCATAATGTTTATAATTCAGAATTATTTTGTGTTAAATAATAATGCACTTATTTGTGCACTTTGTTGAATTTTATGTCAAGTGAACAACAAAATACACAATCAGTCACCTGTAGTGTTCTTTTCTAATTGATCAGTAATAGCCGTTCGTAGTCTGCACACACATTAGTGTTTCGATTATTCAGTTGTTTTGCTGTTTTTTGTTGCAGTAAACATGTTGAGTAGAGTTGTGCTGCTGTGGCTAACATGTTACGCATTGCTTTCCCATCAATTGCTGTGTTTGATCACTAACTGAAAGCGACTCTTCTCTACTCTACTCTACTCTTCGTGTGTGTCGTGGGATTTGGAGTTTGTGTTTGTGTATGTTTTGATGATTGATTCTTGTCCTCAACCCAAGTGATGTGTCTGTGTAGTGACTGTCTGTGTCTCTCTGATGGTTTCAGAAGTGGAACTCCATCTCCTAAAAGAACATCAGTGACGCGCTCACCCGCCCCGAGAGGAGCCAGGGATCGCTTCACCGGAGAGTCCTACACAGTACTGGGTACCAAAAAACATAGCCTTAGAAATGGTCAAGTGTCTACACTGCTATTCACAAGACTGTGATCATTTGGGATGATCTGGGAAAACTGTCCCTGTCCCCTAAAATTGGGGTTTAATCGTGGGGTTTAGAATTTTAAAAAATCACAGCTTCATCGGAATGGTATGAAACTTGGTGACTTTTATGGCATTTGGAATGTGACACACAAAAAAATTGAGGGCATGATTTGAGCAGACTAAGTGGTCATAAAAAAAATAGCAACACTTGTGGTCTTCGGTCAAAAATGACTGACCATAGGAAATGAATGGCAAATCAACAAAAACACAAAAATTCTGAGAATTTGTGTGTACACTCTACAAATCTGCCACAATGAAGAAAAAAAAAATACAGCAATGATGGGGTGAAACTCTAAAACATCAAGAGAGCAAAACCAACACACACACACTCACAGACACACACACACACACTCACTCACTCACAGACACACACACACACACACACACACACACACACACACACACACACACACACACACACACACTCACAGACACACACACACACACACACACACACACGTTTGGTTTGCTATCCTTGTGGGGACTCTCCATAGGCGTAATGGTTTTTCTTCTGTACAGACCGTATATTCTATTGCCCTACACCAACCCTACCCCTAAACCTACCCCTCACAGGAGACTTTCTGCATTTTTAGATTTTCAAAAAACTTAATTCTGTGTGATTTATTAGCTTGTTTACCCGTGGGGACCTCAATTTAGGTCCCCACCGTGACACGAGTCCCCATGAGTCTGTGTGTAGTCAGGTTTAAGTCCCCACCAGAAAAGAAAAACAGGTACACACACACACACACACACACTCAAATGAATTGGTATGGCTATAACCATATAGCCGAAACAAGTCAGAAAACTGAAATAAGAGGTTGAAATCAGATCAGACCCCAGAAGGATAAAGCTCTGATAAAACATTCCTGTTCATTTTTGTTACATTTTTATAGAATTTTAATGTTTTGTGTAACAAAATGCTTATTCTGTGTTTAGGTTTGACTGTAGTAATAATAATTCAAAAACTGACGCTTCAAATCAACATTTCAAACCCCCCAAAAATCTAAACCTTTACAAAAAGTTGTCTTTGAGAATGTCTAAATATATATCCAAACCCACAACTTAATAAAAATAAGTATTTGTCTAAAAACAATTAGAGAATTAATAGGCTTTTATATAGAGCTATATAGGAGTCTAGTGGCTAAACCATAGAATTGCATTTGTTTTTCATATTATACTCCCACCAGATGGCACTAATTTGGCTTCAAAAAATTGAATTTTAAAGGCAGTGACTCTATTTTAACATGAAATTGTAGGTGTCCAGTCACTTTTGACCGTGAAGACCACAAGTGTGACTCCCAAATAAGGAGCACCAGAGGGTTAAAAGACAATTAATATTCAGTAATATCATCGATTTGAAGATGTGAACAAAACACAAATATTGACACTCTTGTCTTCTGTAGAGCTGCTTTCTTTACAGGCTGAATCGAATTGGTTTCATTATTGATGAACATTGACACTGTTATTGAACTATATTGAATTAACACTGAATCAAAATTGAGTCAGGTCAGCTGCATTGAAGCAATCTGGATTGTATGAAGCACTAGATAAATGTGACTCGAGTTGACTTCTAAACAACACTTACTACACATCCACACAAACATGGTTGCTGGAATAATGGAATCGTTTGCAGCCTGTTTTAATTAAGCTTGTTTGTTTGTGTGCATGTTTAGGTGACACCAGTATGGAGTCTGGCCAGCATTACTGGGAAGTGAAGCCTCAGAAAGACTGTAAGTCCTACAGCGTTGGTTTGGCCTACAGAAACCTTGGGAAATTTGAGCAGTTGGGGAAGACCAACACCTCCTGGTGTATCCACGTCAACAACTGGCTGCAGAACTCGTTTGCAGCCAAACACAACAACAAGGCCAAGAATCTGGACGTTGCCGCACCGGACAGCATAGGGGTCTACTGTGACTTTGATCGGGGTAATGTACAAAATATTTAACATTTCATATTTGATATAGGCCTCTATATGATCAACTTGATCGAAACTTTGCTGAAAAACCTTTTGCAGACAATCTACTACATAATACACGTATAATTGTAAAAATGTCCACCTTCAGCTCGTGGTTCACTTGTTTGTCCGCTGTGAAATTACTACAGATTTTTAGAAATTAAACATAAGAAAAACTTTCATATTGTTAGTAATATTTCAAGATGGACACTTACTGGAAGCATATCAGGCTTTTTAGGAATGTTTTTTTTATATTATATGTACATTTACTTTTACTTTTTTTTTTTAAAAGGGAGTATCAAATATCAGGCTTTTGAGGAAGGTTCATGTGTTCATCTCTCAATCATCATTGTATTGAATTAAATTACATGTTTTGAAACTACAGAGCTTTGATTATAAAACTAAGCATTTAAATATCATCTTCCAGAGATGATATAGTGACAATTGATAGTTATATTTTATGTAAGTAGTCTGATACACTGTTATAAAGATCTCATTAATCAGAATTTCATCTGATTTGCACATTTTTGTTCAGTTTGAGCCTCTAAATAAAACTGAAAAATCTTTTTTTAGATTATTTTCAAGAAATCTATTATTTGATATGTTTGCAAACATATCAAACACTGTTAATGTCTCAAACACTGTGTGTATTCACTCTTTTGTCAGATATCAGGGGAAGTAATAGTTTATTATGAAAAGAAAGTCAAGATTAAATTGATTCAGTAGCTCACACCTGATTCCTCGTTTCTAACATCCATGTCTTCGGTGTTATTATGGGTAGTTTAAGTGTAGTATGTTCATATAATGCTCCATGGTCTATAGAGAACATTATAGTTTCTCTCACGTGCAATCAGATACGTACACATTTCCATTCATGCTTTGCTTGTGATCTGGTTTCGATCCTGCATCGCCTGAATAACTGCTGCATGGAAATAAGACTGCTGCTATTTATTAATGCCTTTGTGTTTTTTGTTTTTTCCCCAGGCCAACTTTCTTTCTATAATGCTGAAAACAAACAACTGCTCCATACTTTTAAAGTGAAGTTCACCCAACCTGTTGTGCCAGCTTTCATGGTGAGTTTGGAGTACAAACGTTTTATATACACATGCAAATAGAGGTTATTCTGATGCAAACCATGCCCAAGCATTTCCATTCTCTGTGTAGAATTAGGCAACAGAAAAAAATAACAACAATGCTGATAATAGTATAAGCTTGTAATAGTGCTGAAGTATTATCACAGTAACACACTTCACCTTAAAGCAAATGTGCTCACTTTTAGGCCATCCAAGAGTTTGTTTCTTCATCAGATTTGGAGAAATGTAGCATTGCATCAGTATCTCAGCAATGGATGCTCTGCAGTGAATGGGTGCCATCAGAATGAGAGTCCAAACAGCTGATATAAACATCACAGTAATCCACACCTAAAGGCTCTGCTACAGGACTGACTGAGTGTGTTTGTGTTTCAGGTGTGGTGTGGCGGTCTGACTCTGTCTACAGGCCTGCAGATACCCAGTGCAGTGAGAAGCCTCCAGAAGACAGAAAATGGGCTGGGAGGATCGAACAGCAGTATATCTCAGCAGGATCCCGCAGTAGCCTGTGATATTTGCCTCTACGATAAACTGCCTTCAGTAGACAGTTCCCTAATGCCGTGACCCGATTTCCTAAAACTTATCCGTTAACCGTTTTGAAAACCGAACACCTTTCCGATGGCCGAGGCATGTATGTAGGCTTCCAGGACAAAGAGCTCTTCTCCGCAGCTTTGCCTGGCAGAATTTGGAGAGACGTTTCCCTTCACGCTCCTCTGAAGAGAGGCCTCGTTGTCTTTGACAGACACTTGCTTTCATCAGGAGACGCTTGCATCAGGAAAGCTAGTCGCTTTATCAGGGAATAGTTCAGGGCACTCTCTTTACTGATTTTAGGTTGAATTATGACAAGCTTTTTTTGAGTTGTTTGTCCTTCTCTAGATTAGTGTTAACTCCTTTCTATGGTGTTTTCTTTAGTTTTTTTTACATTAACTGTCCTCTTATTGATATCTGAACTCCGGAGATCATCCTTCAGTTGTTGAATTTGAATTTTGCACAAGTGTAAAAATGAGAAAAGCTGCTTTTAATGTCCCCTAGTGGTCATATACTGTTATTATATCTGGATAATTTTGAATGTGGACTGTACATTTTTGTTGTATAAATGTGTTATCCTGAGTTATGTTGATTTTTAAGTCATTTAGGTCTTTTTTTGAATAGGTTTGAGAAATATTTGTGCAGAAACTAATAATCAAACCTCGGTCTGTTTCTATGTAACACTGCTTAATGAGCTTAAATCCAAATATTAAAGCTCACCAAAGTTTGACTCGGTGTTGATTTTTTCTGCATCTCGCGCCGTCTGGAGTTGTAATCCCGAAACAGCAATAAAGTGGATCTCAGGCAAATTCATTTATAAACATATGGCCCCTTTTACTGTTACAAATGAACTATGAATGTGCGAGTTGTAGTTCGTAATCGACGCTTTCAGGGATGTAAACTTTTGAAAACAAATAGATTTTTTTAATGCTATAAAAAGGACAGTAGTGAATCTTATCTGATCCTTGGTGGATCTAGAGTCAGATTATAGTATTAGGGATTTTTTTTCCACTAGGGATGAGTTGGGTATGATAGTAAAGACAAGTAATTGAAAGGAAAAATGGATAAACAAAATAAATCAAGAGGAGTCCAGTAGGTGACGATTTACAAGTTGATTGAGAATCGCTAAATAACCTCAAGAAGATGTATTTATCCCTAAAGAGCAGCGCCAGAGCTCGCCTCTTATTGTGTAAAGGAGATGCCAACTTCCACGGCTCTCTCATTAAAGAGCTGATGGATCACGTGTGCCACATAGACCAATCACATTATATAGCCTTGACGCCATTGACTCTCCTTCTGAGTTTTACGACAGTCAGTCTCTAGAAGCATGCATAGGGATAGCATAGATTATGCACGGTGCATAAGACAGCGCTATGTCCCATTTCAAAACACACAACATAATAGTACTCCATCGGGCCGTTGTCATTGTGGCCCCGAGGGGTGTGGCCCCCACTGCGGCAGGGGTCCCTTATTTTTCTGTATAAAAGAAGGTGGCAACCCTATTATTAAATGACCATCATAGGACCATGTGGGAACGTTCTGTTAACGTCACAAATATCCTCTTTGTCACTTTGTTATGTGACCTTAGAATAACCAATATGGAACTTCCCCCTAAAGTCATACCGGGAACTTTATTATATGACCAACAGAGGACCATTATGTAAAGTCGTTCTGTTAACGTCTCAAACGTTGCGAGAACGCCCCCTCCTACGTGAGTCTAGCACCTAATATGTTTTGCTTTTCTACATTTTTACATCCAGTTTTTTTACTGAGCAGTGACCCGAGCAAACCGAGATATGTGTACTAAGAATAAAAATAAATAAATCTGAATTACTGACAGTGTTCAGTCTTTTTAACCTCTAACCCTTATTCTGTCAATATTTATTTATGTGATGGAGAGACTTTGGAATCATCTCCCGGTAGTGCTGTGTAGCTCAGTCATATAGAAGGGAGTTGCTACTGTTTTTAGTACTTGCCGTTCTAGTTTTAGACCGTTTTTATTACAATCTTTGTTTTAAGCTCTTAAACCTAATTGGCACATCTTGCACATCTGCTTTAAATAAATAACCCCTTGGACCCCAACTTCGCTATTGATCCTTCTTGTGACTGCTCGGGTATCACACTTGCATATTGTCTTTGTGTTCTGTTGCCTCAATAACACAACACACAAAACTGTAAACTGGCTTCAGCTTTAGAGTATCTCATCAGTTTTGTATTTTTTACATGAATTGATAATTAGCCTGCTCCATCCTGTATGCAAACAAGAAGTCTTTAGTAGGTAGAAATGGATAAAGTGTAGCATACACATTCTGTTTGTGACTCATTTTGCTGCGTCTGCACCCCTATGCAATGCTCTGTGCATGCTTCCGGTGCTTTTGTTCCAGAAGGTTAGGTGAAAACCACAAGAGCTGCAAAAAAGAAAGAAAAAAACCCACATGCGTAAACAAGTGTCAAGATGTTTTTCCATTAAATGTCATTTGTTGCAAACCCCAACTGAACAGCAAACTGAAATACGCAGCAAAAAGAATACTTAATGAAATACTCCACACAATTTGAAACTTATCACCAAAAGAAAAGAAAACACACAACTTATGACACATAGGCTTCTTTTTACTTCCAGAAATATTTGTAATGCATTTTTTTTCAGATTTGCAGTATGGGCTTAGTTACATGATTTAAGCAGTGAATATAAAATGTAACATATAAATTAAATATGAGAAATTATTTTATAAGAATTCATTAGGCCACATTTAGATTATAAAAGTGGCTTCAAATAAAGCCATATCAGGTTTAGGCCTTCTTAAATTAGGACTAAATTATTATATCATTTTGTCAGACCGTGTCCACCGTGAGCAATTCTTCTCTTCACTTCTCCTTGTGTTCATCATTAGTTTCTGACGTAACTTTTTTCCTTTTCAGCCATATATCTGGTGACCTTCTAGCATTCAAAGGACGGACGTGAGCTTGACATATGCTTTAAAAAAAAACACGAAAACTCTGTATTATGCTTATAATTATTTGCGTATTATTATTTGCTTGTAAACTGTGATGCTTTTTAAAAATATATTTTTTGACACACATCCATGTGCCAGATCAGAATAAAAAGGGCTTTTCAGACTGTGCTCGAACTCGGTTTGATCATTTTCTAAAGATTGTTTTACAGCTAGAATTAAACTCGGTCCTGGAGGGCCACTGTCCTGCAGAGTTTAGCGCCAACCCCAATTAAACACACCTGAACCAGCTATCCAAGCTCTTACCAGGCACACTAGAAACTTCAAGTCAGGTGTGTTGAGGCAAGTTGGAGCTAAACTCTGCAGGACACTGGCCCTCAGTGTTGGGCAGTAGCTAGCTACAAATAGTGAAGCTACTACCTTAACTACATTTTTCAGTAACTAGCTACTTTTCCAGCAAGTAGCGGTGTAACTTGACCAAAATCTACATTCTGTTTTGCATTATGACGAATCTGCAGTGCACAGAAACAGCACAGCATCTTACTAGATCACAAACTAAAATAGTGTATTAACACCATCTATTTTCATAATTAATTACATAAAGGACATTTCAAGTTCGATACAGCCGTCTTACTAGTTTAATGACACAGGTGAGTAATATTCATTTTAAACTGATTAACTATCCTGTTTCACTCCACTCTATATCAAATGTCCGTTTCCGTTTTAATTGCAATGATGAATGAGTGTTTCCAGTCTGTCCTGCCACAGTTTCCTAATGTATCAAAAAGGTCACATTGTGTTTTGGGCCATTGCTTTTACATCTTTCAATCAAACAGAAAACAAAATCGAGATATTAGCTGCGTCCCAATTCGAAGGCTACAGTCTTCGGAGGTCGCCTTCGAAGGCTGATTGCCGTCACAGCAGCGCAACAAAAGGCTGTCCTAATTCGAAGACTCCTCAAATGCAGCCTTCATTTCCAGTGAAAAGAAGGATACAAACCATGCATCCTTTGAGGTCTTCCCTATCCCAGAAGTCATTGCGCACTGGTGACGACAGGATCATTTTGATTGAATTTGCTGTATTACACTTTTAAATGTAAGTATTGGGTTTTAGCCTACTCGATTATCGAATGATATAAATGTAAAAAAAATTAAATAAATGAAAGCAGTTGAAATGTTGACATATCCTAATAAGATGTGATTATATAAAGTTAATACTCTTTATTATGTACACAAATTGACCATGGGGAACATATTTAGACAGTTTGTCAACCCAGTTTTGTTTTCAGACAGCTGAATAAATAGCTTTTAAAGGGGTCATATGATGCGATTTAAATTTTTCCTTTCTCTTTGGAGTGTTACAAGCTGATTGTGCATAGATAAGATCCCTGAAGTTGCAAAGACTCAAAACCAATGAGATATTCTTTATCAAAGATAAGACTCTGCCAGGTCCCCCTAAAACGGCTCGTTCTAACACGCCCCCACATATCTACATCACTATGTGGAAATATTAGCATAATGCGCCCAAATGTGCACGCAAAGAAAGAAGGCGTGGTTTCAGTAACCGCAGTTAGTGTTGAAGCAGCATGTCAGGGAGACGCTGTGTGTTTCTAGGCGAAAGCAAAAGCACTTTATTTGGCCTTCCAGAAGTAGATGCATTTAGGAATCTTTAAGATTACGCACCCGTCACAGTTGCTAGGCAACAAGAACGATCCTCCGAAGGCTAGACTGTCCCATTTAACAAGGCTCAGTCCGACCTTCGCATCCTTCGAAGATGTGGCCTTCGAAGTCGGTGTCCTATGAAAGATGCAGCCTTTATCACTTGGCAAAGGCTGTGATTTAATATAGCCTAGCTTAGTTTCAGAGCGAAGCGCACCTTATTCACACAAGCAGCTCATGACAACTGTTTCAGAGTGAACGCTGTGAGCTCCATCACTGCATGTGCTGTGAATTTAACAGGCATTTTTGATTTGATTTTCACATTCACGTAACTTAATTATCATTCCAATATTTGTGTGGACACATAATTGCATCATTTAACTCGATTTGCAATTTATTGCAGTTTTTCACTTTGACAAACAAAAAAAACCCAACAAAAAATAACTTGAGATCTAGGCTGTATCTGAGTATTGCGTGTATCTTTGGATAGATTACAAAATAAAACTACACTCTTTGAAATCATAATTTTATTACATTGTGTTGTTTTAAACCCCAAATCCTTTAAACGTCCCTCAATTATTCAGTTATAAACGTCTAAAAAGAAAAATCTAAGTAGCTTTGTTCTAGTAAGCTACTTTTTGGTAGTAACTTGTAGTGTAGCTAGCTACTTTTTGAGAAGGGTAGCTTTAATGTAGCTTAACTATTTAAACTTATGAGTAGCTTGTAGCTTAGTTTCAGAGTAGCTTGAGTTTGGACACCCCTGGGCGAGAGGTTTAGCAACCAAGAGCCGTTCACATGCCTCATATTCACACACTTTGAGCATTTATGGAAACAAAGTGTGTTGCACAAACAATTTTTTTTGTGTTTGAAGGAAAATAATTAAATGGTGACAGAAAACATGGTAGGAGTGAAGAAGAGATGGTTTTATTTTTATCTTTATAGTCCATTCAATAAAGACTTGATATTGTCATCAATGTAATGCAAGGAAGCACAATGCTGGAGCCTTTATGTAAACATTTAGTGTGTTGTGTTCATCTAATCAGTGACAGTAATTGTTAACCCCGTGTTAATTATGAGCAGTGTGAAACATGAAGCAAGATGTTCACCTGGGGTTTAGAATGACCCACAGATAACTGGTTCAAGTGTGAGAGGTCATGTGGCGTACCATAAGACTGACATAAGACTGTATCCCTCTCAAGAATATAGCCCAAATAGCTTCTTGACCATGAAACCCTTTAATGATCCCTCCAGTGATCCCTCCAACAACACCACATGTGATAGCCAGCAGTTTGTTCTGATGTTTGTATGTACATCGCCCAATAAACCAGCTCAGAGTTATCCATATGCATGCCAACACAAAATCAACTACTCCAACTATCAATGCTGATTTAAATCTGTACAAAAGCTGTTCATAACCTTCAACACAACACAAAATGGCAAAGAAGCACATGATAAAAAAGACTGTATACAGAATTTCAGTCTTTATAAATCCCGGCAGAAATATTTTAAATGATTGGGTCTCAAACATTTGTAAAGTGTAGCAGCTGTTCTGATTTTCAGACACCATCTGGTCGATCTTCATCAGGAGGCCTGTGACCTGATCTCTGTTGTTCAGATCTTTGTTGTTCAGCAGGTGAACTCTCCCTCCACACTCCTCTATTAGTTTGGACAGCTCTGTGTTTTGTCTTATTAGTCGATCAAGTGACTCATTTTGAGTCTCGTCTCCATGTGTGAAGAGGACTAATGTGTGTTTCAAGGCATTTTGACCAAACATCTGCTTGAATGAGGACAGGACATCAGCAGCTTGTGTTTTGTGTGAAGGGAGAACCAGAAGGATCGCGTGGATTCCTGGAGGGCACTTCTTCAATCCATTCTTGAACTCCACACTCAGATCAATGTTTCGGGAATTTGAGAAAGTTGGGGTGTCGACTACTGTAATTCTTCTCATCGACACTTCGACCGAGTGTTTTTGGCATCTGTTAGTGATGGAGCTTGAGCTTTTTTTGGATTGAAACTCATCTTTTCCCAGTATAGTGTTTCCAGATGCGCTCACTCCTGAACCAGTTTTACCAATCAGCAGAAGATTGATATCTTGAGCGGTATCCTCCATCTCTGAAAAGCACCAGAAATATATTTACCGTTGGTTACTTGGATGTTACATTAAAGAGGGGAAAATTTTACCTCACTTTTTAAAAGCCTTATAAATTGGCCAAAAGATGATTTTATTTAAATCTAGTGTGTAGGGTTAGTGTTAGGGGATAGAAAGTACCATTGCCCTAATATAAAATCAATGGGAGTCTATGTAATATTCTCACTAAGATAGTGTGTGTGTGTTTGCGTGTGTGTGTGTGTGTGTGTGTGTGTGATGTCCAAAACGTATGAAAAAACGAAAACGGTGTCGTGTAAACAGTCCCTAAATCTCAAATGATCTGATCAAAGGAAGATTAAACAATTCCACAAACATGAGTTTAACACAGAGGAGCTGTTATTGTGTCTGTGCTGTGTATTTCAGAGCTGCTTTTAATAATGAGACAATTTTACACAAGGCACGTTTTCAGATTTTTTATTGTTTTATTTACACCTTTAGGATTTCACAGTTTTCAGAAAGATATGAATGTGCTGTACATTTTAAGTTTTGTGGAAACACTTTATATGGACAGCTGGACATGATTCCCTCTTTACATACTGTGTTCACCCACTGCTTTATTTAGGCTATAATAATCCAGAGTCATCAAGATCATAAAATCTCCAGAAGAACCTGTTATGAATTTAAAGTTTACAGCAACTATCAGTAGCCTAAATCAGACCAAGTGCGTGACTGCAAAAAAAAAATCCCCTTTCACTTATTGTTTTCACTTCAAGCAGGAGGCCCTTGATGCTGTGTCACATGATTTCAAGAAAAACAGATCTGTGTAGAAGAACAGCAGATAGAAGCTTGACAGACTGACAAAAACCCAGGTACATAGAGAGAGAGAGAGAGAGAGAGAGAGAGAGAGAGAGAGAGAGAAAAGAGATAAATCAAAAATAACTATGTCAAGCAGTTACATTAAATCCCTCTTGGAGAAGGGAGTTCTCCACAGGACATGATCTGAATGTGTGGGAGTCTGGGATCAGAGAGATGAAGCACTAAGATGGAGGAGGAGAGTAAAGCAAAGCTGGCTGAGAGAGAGAGAGAGAGAGAGAGAGACATCAATAATCAGGTTTGTCTCTTTTTTTTGTTTCAGAATACTTTATTAGTTTGTTTTTAATTATTCTGTTTCTCAATATATTTTAATTATCAGGACTAGCCTACTTGTTAAGACAGTGATAGTTACATTTCATCTTTATCTCATCTTTATTGTTAATAGGTTTTGGTCAGTTCTTATACATATAAAATATAATGTTATAATGTTTATATATATATTTATTTATTTATTTTGTGTATGTATATATATATATATATATATACATATATATATACACATATACATACACATATATATATATATATGACATTGACATTTTGCCATGCAAGTTCTTTTCATAATCTGGAGAAACGTGCGAGCATGTCAGTGGGGTACGGTTGAGACACAGTGTATCAACTGTACCCGGATTGGTGTCCTATTGCTTCACATGCTGTTTAGTTGTACAGTGTTATGATAATAGGATAAAAGTCACATTTACACATATGCTACGCAAATTCTGTTAAAAATATATATTTGTGATATTTCAACTGTCTATTATTAATGGACATATTTTCTAACATGAATGTTTAAAGGATTACATAGCATTTTTAAGAAATATACTAGGTGGTAAAGTGGGTACAGTTGATACACCCTTTAGGCAGGTATATATACAGTAACAGTTCAATCATAGAAAATAAAATGCATATTCAGAGGCTGTGTGTTTGTGTACTGGTAAGTATAGTAATACCAGTAAATTCTAACCTTATGGGAATTTTTTTAGGTCCCCATGATAAAACAAGCTTATAAATCACACAGAATGATTGAAAATGTAAATGCAGAAAGTTTCGAGTGATGTGCAGGTTTAGGGGTAGGGTTATAGAATATACAGGTGTGTATTGTTATTTTTATGTTTACATTTGTACTGTTTGCCATATCTTTTCTAGTGTTAAATATTTGTTCCTATTTTGTTGAACTGATTCTAAATTAAATAAAGCAAATAAACTAATTTATTTTTAAACTGTCATTTTTAAAACTTAATTTTGTCATTTATTACATTTGCAATAAATGGTTAGCCAGCTTTAGAGCATTAAGAATGGGTGTCTCAACTGTACCATGGTACTGTTTCAACTGTACAACATGCATATGGGTACAATTGAGACAAAAATGCACCTTATGTTTATGAGCTAATTGTGGAAAATATAAACTACTTATGGCTATTATCAATTTATGATAATTTAGTACACAAGCAAAATAAATATCATGTGAAAAATCACTTCATTTCAGCATCTAGTTTTTGTATGGTGATGAAAAAAGCAGAAAGTGTCTCTACTGTACTCAGCCTACCCACCATGTCCACTCTGTCATGGAAGGCTTGGTGACAGGGTGGACATTTTTGGTTAAAGTTAGCCAAGGAGGAGTGATGACAACATTTATTTTTATTCTATCTGTGATCACCTTGTAACTGCATCACAGTTTTAACAGGAATAATAACATATGAAGATGTGAAAAATGCTATAAGGACAGTTCACCGAGACGGTTCCAACCCTTTGTGTGTGTAGATAGAACATTTCATAACATAAAACATTCAAAATATTGAAAACAAAATATGTAACATAACCTACCTGGACCGTGAACACAGAACATGAAGAACCCCACCAGTCTGATTTGGTTTATCTCTAAACTTTTGTTAAGAACTTTCTCATTCATTTGTTCCCGTTTTCTTAGTTCCTGTATTTCATCGGTGCTGGGTTTCTAAGTATTTGTTTCTTCTGCTTAAAATGAACAGCAGCACTGCACAGGAGAAAAGAAGAAATGTCTGCAGCAGAATTAAGACACAGGGGATACCTGAAAAATAGTGGACATGAAATTGGTGAGATATTTCACATTTAATTTTATTTCTGATGTTTATAGTGAGGCTGTGCTTGCTAGTTCAGGCATTTGAGGGCTTTGAAACAAGGTCTTGTCACTCTTTTACATAAGCCAAATAAAGATAATCTTAACATTGTAAATTTCCCCCTTAAAAATGTTGAAGTTATCTGTATGTTTCTTCAAGTCTTGACTGGAAACAAAACATCTAATTCTTGCAATATTTTTGAGATGATAGTACGCTGATTTAGTTACAGCTTTGACATGACTACTGAAACTAAGGTCTGTCTCCAGAATCATACCAAGATTCCTGACTTGATTTTTAGTTGTTTGACCCCTAGAGTCAAGGTATGCATTCACCTTGAGAACTTCATCTTTGTTTCCAAATGCAATGACTTCAGTTTTTTCCTTGTTTAACTGAAGAAAGTTCTGGCACATCCAACTGTTAATTTCATCAATGCATTGGCAGAGGGAGTCAATGGGGCTGTAGTCATTTGGAGATAAGGCTAGGTAAATCTGGGTATCATCATTATAGCTGTGATAGGCAATTTGGTTCTTTCTCATTATTTGACTTAGTGGGAGCATATACAGGCTAAACCAGAGCGGTGCAAGAATTGAGCCTTGTGGGACTCCGCATGTCATGGACGTCCACTTAGACTTATGCTCTCCTATACTCACATAATAACCTCTACCTTCTAAGTATGACCTGAACCATTTGATTAGCATCCCAGAAAGCCCAACCCAGTTTTCCAGTCTCTCTAGAAGTATGTTATGATCGACCGCGTCAAACGCCAAGTTTTCCAAGTTTCTCATCCACACTGAAATTCTGCCTGCAGCACTGGCCCGACTGTGAAAGTGACAATTCTGTCCCAGGTCCTGTATCGCAGCGAGCAGACACGATTTGGAGATGTGAACCCATGTGCTCATTTTTCAATCTGAATCACTCTCGTTGCTTGTAAAATTACGCCTCCCGGAAAGAGTTACTCACCAAGTAGCTATTTGATCTCACAATCTGTATGGATTTTTTTGTTCATTCAGCCCACAAGCTGTGGTGAATAAATGATTGCTGGAATTTCCCACATCATAAGTGCGAAACCTGCGGATCATCTATCTATCATCAATGTTTTCTCATTACATTATCTGGTTTTACATATGAACTGCATCACAGTTTTAACAGGAATAATAACTCATAAAAACACCTAAAGTAAATATCTTTGAATTTAGCCAACAAATGTGAATTATCATTTTTGTGGTCTCTCGCAACAACAAATCTCTCTATCAAGATTGTCAACACCTGCATCCTTTTCACATATGAAGATGTGAAAAATGCTATAAGGACAGTTCACCGAGACGGTTCCAACCCTTTGTGTGTGTAGATAGAACATTTCATAACATAAAACATTTTTTAAAATATTGAAAACAAAATATGTAACATAACCTACCTGGACCGTGAACACAGAACATGAAGAACCCCACTAGTCTGATTTGGTTTAGTTCTAAACTTTTGTTAAGAACTTTCTCATTCATTCGTTCCTGCTTTCTTAGTTCCTGTATTTCATCGGTGCTGGGTTTCTAAGTATTTGTTTCTTCTGCTTAAAATGAACAGCAGCACTGCACAGGAGAAAAGAAGAAATGTCTGCAGCAGAATTAAGACACAGGGGATACCTGAAAAATAGTGGACATGAAATTGGTGAGAATAAACTTATTTATTTATTTCATATTTCACATTTAATTGCTTTATGATGTTTATAGTGTGGCTGTGCTTGCTAGTTCAGGCATTTGAGGGCTTTGAAACAAGGTCTTGTCACTCTTTTACATAAGCCAAATAAAGATAATCTTAACATTGTAAATTGGTGTCACATCACACTATTCAATTCTGACTAAACTGTTAACTTCTGTATTTTAAGAAAACAAAAGATTGAAACTTTTTTGGGCAGAAATTATTTTCTTTTATCCGAAGCAACTTACAAATGAGGACAATGGAAGCAATCAAAGTCAACAAAAGAGCAATGATATACAAGTGCTATAACAAGTCTCAGTTAGCTTAATGCAGTAGACGTAGCAATTTTTTTTTTAAATCATCTAATAAATAAAAATAAAACGAAAATAAAAATAAAAAGATAGAATAGGAAAAGAATAGAGCAAGCTAGTGTTAGAGGCATTTTTTTTTTGCTTTTGTTAATTGTATAATAAATAAAAAGAAAACAAGCTGTTAGTAAATAAATAGAGTGCAAGTCTAAAGGGGGCATGTTTTTTTTTTTTAAGAATATAATTAGAATAGAGAGTGCTAGAGTTAGAGGGTCAAATAAAGATGGAAGAGATGTGTTTTTAGCAGATTCTTGAAGATGAAGACTCAGCTGCTCGGATTGAGTTGGGCAGGTCATTCCTCCAGGAGGGAACATTTAAGTTAAAGTCAGTGAAAGTGATTTTGTGCCTCTTTGGGATGGCACAATAAAGTAACGTTCACTTGCAGAATGCAAGATTCTAGAGGGCATACAAGTCTGAAGTAATGAATTTAGGTAAAGGGGTGCAGAGCAAGTGGTGGTTTTGTAGGCAAACATTAATGTCTTGAATTTTATGCGAGCAGCTATTGGTAGACAGTGCAAATTGATAAACAGAGGTGGACGTGTATTCTTAAAGTTTAATAAATACAACTGACTAGCTAGTTGATAAAACCAAAATTTAACCAAAATAAAACTAAAAAACGATCAAGTCTGACTGGCTAACTCTAATGTCCAGTGCTAGTGATAGTTATTTTTCCCTTGCTAGGAAATAGATTTCATATCCAACATTTTTGAGTTGCACTGGCCATAAGCTTTAAACATGGGGAAAACAGTTGCTGCTGTGACAGGTATGGTTTATCACCTCATTTTGATGTAGTGCATATATAACTGCAATAACTATTTCAAGCATTTTCTATCTTTTATACACAGCAAAATAGCATGCATTTGACATAAAATCAGAATTGTCAAGCTGACCATGTAAATAGTGCAATGAATGTTTATATGGTTGTCAACGAATGGGACATTTTACTCAAAATTAAATTTCTTCAAAATATTTTGACTTTAATAAAATTTCCCCAAGAAACCTAGAGTCCTCCATGATTCTTTCTGACAGCAAAGCACTTCAATGCGACAAGCTCGTAATCACAACTTCAGAAGTGGGAAGTAGGAAATTTCTGCACACAAAGGCAGCATTATTCCTTATTTCCTTACAGGAATCATGAAAATTCACCTTACCCAAATCTAGATGGACTTGCACAGCTGCAGCTCACATGACAGTGGCATGTCTGAACTAGTTGACACAGGAAATCAACTACGTAATATAGAGGTTGACTGGCAAAAAAGTATTTTATGTATTTTGAAAATACAAAAATACTAAGCTTAAATGTATTTAAATACAAAATACATTCGATTTTTTTTCAAAGGTATTTAAATACAAAATGCAAAATAGTATTTTGTATTTCAAATACGTATTTTAAATACATTTATCAGAAATACTGCCCATCCCTGATTACAGGCAAAACAACAAGACAGCTGTTTCACAATTGGCTGGATTCATCTGCATCTGTTCTGATTTTTAGTTGCTTTAATGTGCATTTGTGAACATGTGCCACCTATCTTTTCAAACTTGCAATGACAGTCATTTATAAATCTGTTGTCAACAAATAAAAAACAAGCTTCTCCCTGTGGTTTTCTGCCAATATATATATATATATATAAAAAGCCTGAACATTTAATAATAGTAATAATAATAATATTATACATATATATATATAAATAAATAAATATATATATATATATATATATATATATATATATATATATATATATATATATATATATATATATATATATATATATATATATATATATATATATATATATATATATATATATATATATATATATATATATATATATATATATATATATATATATATATATATATATATATATATATATATATATATATATATATATATATATATATATATATATATATATATATATATATATATATATATATATATATATATATATATATATATATATATATATATATATATATATATATATATATATATATATATATATATATATATATATATATATATATATATATATATATATATATATATATATATATATATATATATATATATATATATATATATATATATATATATATATATATATATATATATATATATATATATATATATATATATATATATATATATATATATATATATATATATATATATATATATATATATATATATATATATATATATATATATATATATATATATATATATATATATATATATATATATATATATATATATATATATATATATATATATATATATATATATATATATATATATATATATATATATATATATATATATATATATATATATATATATATATATATATATATATATATATATATATATATATATATATATATATATATATATATATATATATATATATATATATATATATATATATATATATATATATATATATATATATATATATATATATATATATATATATATATATATATATATATATATATATATATATATATATATATATATATATATATATATATATATATATATATATATATATATATATATATATATATATATATATATATATATATATATATATATATATATATATATATATATATATATATATATATATATATATATATATATATATATATATATATATATATATATATATATATATATATATATATATATATATATATATATATATATATATATATATATATATATATATATATATATATATATATATATATATATATATATATATATATATATATATATATATATATATATATATATATATATATATATATATATATATATATATATATATATATATATATATATATATATATATATATATATATATATATATATATATATATATATATATATATATATATATATATATATATATATATATATATATATATATATATATATATATATATATATATATATATATATATATATATATATATATATATATATATATATATATATATATATATATATATATATATATATATATATATATATATATATATATATATATATATATATATATATATATATATATATATATATATATATATATATATATATATATATATATATATATATATATATATATATATATATATATATATATATATATATATATATATGTGTGTGTGTGTGTGTGTGAGTGTGTTTACTTGTACTTTCACAAGTAAGGTAAATTTCCAAAACTCTTATTATGTGATTCTCTTATATGATTTGCGTTGCTATTGAATGAACCAATTGTTGAAAATTCAGAAAGGAGATAATACAGTTTAGTGATTAAACCAAATATTCTCACTCCATACAATGATCTTGTTTTGTGATTTTGAAAGTGTATAAATGTGATCATATTGGAGTTTTGCACTGAGAGTTATATATTTGCACCTTACTTGTGAAAATAATACCAAGGCGAATATAAAAAATGTACTACTAACAATAATAATAATACTTTTATTATAGATGGAATGAGGCTGACCAGATGGAGGCTCCCCAGTTTCTCCTCCAGACGGATTGTTCTTCTGGGTCAAACTGGTGTTGGGAAGAGTGCAGCTGGAAACACAATACTGGGACGGGAAGGGTTCAGATCTGAGAGGAGTATGGATTCAGTAACCTGTGAATGTTCAGTCGCTCATGCCACTGTTTCAGGCAGATCAGTGTCTGTAGTTGATACTCCTGGATTCTTCGATTCACAGATGGATCCTGGGCAGTTAAAGAAAGCAATAGCGAGAAGTATGCATTTTTTCAGTCCTAGACCACACGTTTTTCTCATTGTGCTCAGAGTAGATGACAGATTCACTGATCAGGAGAAGCAGTTTCTTCAGAAGATTGAGATGGTGTTTGGTCAGGAGGTGTTAAAATGCACCATCATTCTCTTCACTCGTGGAGATCATTTGGAAGGAGAGTCTGTAGAGGAGCTCATTGAGGAGAACAGTAGATTAAGAGATCTAGTAGATCAGTGTGGAGGCAGATATCACGTCTTCAACAATAAAGATCAGAGTAACAGAGAGCAGGTGAATGATCTACTGCAGAAGATTGACATAATGACAGAGCAACGAAAGGAACAGAACAGAAAAAGTCAGTAGAAAGATGTCTTACACTTTTCAGATAGAGAGTTGCTTTTAGAATATTCCTTTCATGTTCTCGTTTTACATGTCATAGTACACAGATCGATTAATGGCACACGTCTTTACGTCACCACGTGATGCCATCCAACGTCCCCTCCAGAATTTCACATATAAAGGGGGAGCCAAGATGGTGTCTCGTTGATTGCTGATGTTAATAAGAGTTGGAATCCACCTTCAGATAGTTAATGGGTAAGAAACGTGTTAATAACTGTGGAACACACACTATTTATTCACTCATACACTTATTTATCTAACACTCATACTCAGTCTACACCTCAAATTTGCACATAATATTCAGTACCTGTACATACAAAAACTGTCTATTGTAATACACCTGCACATACAACTGTCAGTTTATATATTTTTATTCCTTATTTACTTGTTCTATTTTTTATTATCTGTGTTTTTTGTTCTGTGACTGTCATTCTGTTACACTGTGGAAGCTTCTGTCACGAAAACAAATTCCTCGTATGTGTAAACATACCTGGCAATAAAGCTCATTCTGATTCTGATTCTGATTCTGATTCTGAACTTGGACAGGCGCTTGTCAAGCGAATCATTCGGCCAAAACATGGACGAATCCGAATGTGTAGACGCCTCACTTGTCACACATGATTATGAAAGGGATTTTAACGATCCTTTACTCCCAGCAAAAGTCCCCCTGGGAAAAAGAAAAAAGACAGTAATGATGTATCACTAGCTGAGATTTTCAACGCCATCCAGTCCCTGAATTCCAAGCAAGATTCGGTTATTCAAAAGACTACTCACATTGAGAGCTCCATTGAGGTCACAACGGCTGCGGTGAACTCTTTGTCTGACACTATTAATCGACTCCTGTCAGATGTTGCCTCTCATGGTGAAAAGATCGGTAAGGCCGAATAGTCGATACAACGCATTCAACAGAAAAATGCTTCTCTTAAGCTCACAGTGGAAGATCTAGAAAGGTATAGCCAGTTCATTAAGTTTTACATAAAATGCATATAGAAGATGATTATTGTTCTAAAATGTTACTGTTATGAGTTCTCTGAAATCTAAAAGAAATACTAAAATATATTAAATGGGTAAAAAGGGTGTATTAAGTATTGGAATACCTGTACAATTTGTATGTTTGAAAGAACAATATAAAGGAAAAACCTGTTAAAAATGTATTTCCTGTAGCTGCAATGCTCTCATGTCACTCATGTTTCAGCTATGTTGAATTGAAAAACTTGATCAAATGTGTTGCAAGGCTTTTAATGGCTCAGAAAATACAGAGACTCTGATGGTGAAGCAGCAGTGTCCTGTGTTTTATTCACAATCTCCCCTCATCAGGTGGTGAGGGCGTTACAGAGACACCACAATATCATATGAATGGAAGCCAAGAGTTCTACCTCGGAGAGAATGGTCTCCACAAAGAATTTATCTCCAAAGCGGACATTGAAAGTCGGAATAAACTCTGGCCACTTGTCCAGGCGGCTCGAAAAAAAGGGAAGAAGGCCGGTTTCAGCGGTCCCTTTGCTGTTAACAATAAGAGAATCTTTTCTGCACGTCTGCCTAGTTTGAAATGTTGCCGTTATTTTAAGGGCTTTTGACCACATTCCAATGATTATTCTAATTTTCCTTGTACAAAACAGCAGTTCCAAGTTAAGCGTTTAGTGTACTTTGGGATCACGGTTTTCCTTGCTTTTTTCCTGTAATTGTTCTTTTTTAAATTTACATGTCCTTTATGGACAAATTTGAGTTTAATCTGAATTATTTCTTTAAATGTGCAGGGCTTAAGAGACAACACTAAAAGAGAAGCCATTTTCCTATTTTGTTGACATGATGCGGAGACTTTTTTTTTTTAACTAGATGCATTCTTCTGATGCGGACAATTCTGGAAAGCTCAATGGGTGATAGGATTTATTTTAGTCATGGGTCAAATAATTCAGCTGGTGTTCGTCACGGAATGCCAGGAGAAACAAGGTAAGATCCAGATGCAGTTTATTCAAAGTAACAAATAATCAAAACGTGGCAAAAGGTAATCCAAAAACACAAGGAACCGAACACGGTGAACTCCAGATAACATCAAGATCAGACATGGGAAGACAAATACAATATCAGCAGTGACAGACAGTTCGCATGGTATATATAGATGGAATAATGCGTAAATGACTAACAGGTGAAAATGATCGGAACTGATAAACAGGTGCTCATGATCAGACAGAATGACAAGCAAGGGACTATGGGAAATGGAGTTCACAAAAACGGGAGAGTGCCCTCAAGTGGCCAGTCCAGGGCACCACAACCAGACACTGTGACATTCCCCCCCCCTCTCTACGGAGCGGATACCAGACGCTCCACCAGAAAACATAAGTTCAGGAGGGAGGTGGAACTGAGGTGGACCAGGACCATGCCAAGGAAGGGGGTCAGGGAACAGAGGTAGACCAGGGTCTAAGAGTGGAACCGGCAGGGTGGAAAGCCAAGGCGGGGCCGGCAGGACGAACCAGCAGGGCCCCAACCATACAGGAACCCCAGCAGATAGCCAGGATGGAGCTGGAGGAATGAGCCAGTGAGGCTCCAGCCAAACCAGAACCCAGGCGGGCAACCAGAGCGGAACCGGAATCCTGTCAGGCAACATTGGTGGGACAGAAAACCCTCTCAGCAACTCAGGAGAAACTGAAAACAAGAGCAGAGGGAGTTTAGTAACAGCCTCAACAGCTGCAACAGGACAAGCCGTATTCTCCGCAACGGTCCCCGTTAGCTCCCGGACTGGAGCGGGCTCTGTGAGCGCCCCGACTGGAGTGGGCTTTCCTGTATTCCTTCTCACCCTCCGCCGCTTAGTGGGAGTCTGAAGGATGGGGTGGTGGGAAAATCCCTGCGGAAAGGTTCTGACTGTCCTGGTTCTGCCCACTGACTTCGACTTCATTCGCTCCTTCCTTGTGGCAGGAGGGACAATCCGAAGGTCCATGGTTCAAAAAAGAAAAAAAACAACAACAAACTGCTGGATCTTGTATTGGCTGCTATATTCTGTCATGGAACGCCAGGAGAGACAAGGTAAGATCCAGGTGCAGTTTATTCAAACTAACAAATAATCAAAACGGAACAAAAACGTGGCAAAAGGTAATCCAAAAACACAAGGAACAGAATAACACTGTGAACTCCAGATAACATAAAGATCAGACATGGGAAGACAAATACAATATAGCAGCAGTGACAGACAGAGTGAGCATGGTATATATATATAGATGGAATAATGAGTAAATGACTAACAGGTGAAAATGATGGTGCTCATGATCAGACAGAATGACAAGCAAGGAACTATGGGAAATGGAGTTCAACACATATAACATAAAAACGGGAGAGTGCCCTCAAGTGGCCAGTCCAGGGCACCACAACCAGACACTGTGACACTTGTTCTGATTCATAAGTTTAAAAGAGATATTGTTCATTCCAAGTCTTCCCCTGATGGTAGATAGGTTATACTAACTGTTAAATCAGAAAATGCTATATTTATTTCCTTTTTTGCTAATATTTCTGTCATACTATGTAACATGCTGAAAACAACCCCGAATGCCAAGTTAATCATTGCTGGTTACTTTAACGAAGTTCCTGATGTTTTTATGGAAAGATTTCCACAGAAAATGCATCCCTACTCACAAAGTTGTAATACCATTGAATCCTTATGTAAAGACTTATCTTTAGTTGATTCATGGCGTTACATAGCAATGCATACAAATATACATGGAGTAATGTATCAAAGTCTTTAAAATCAAGAACTGATTTATTCCTCATTTCATCCAATCTATTACAACATGTTCAAAACATTTCCCATCATTATGTTCCTTTTACTATCCTATCTCTTAATTGATATGTCTTTGCTGACTGTTCAGACTTCTAACAGCCTCCGTGGCTACTGGAAATTTAATAACTCTCTTTTAGAAGACAGAATTTTCATAAAACATATTGAAGCTTTAGCCACCGATATATTTAATTCAGAGATGACAGATTTTGTCTCTAAATGGGAGATATTTCAATTTAAATCCAGACATTTGGTTATTAAACGAAGTAAGGAAATAAAAAAGTATAGAGACCACATGGAAACAGAATTGTTGGATAAAATTGATTTTCTCTCCCCAATACAGGATAGTGAGCTCCATTCTTTACAAGCAAAACCTAATGACTTATACTAACAAGGTTACTGGAGCTTTGAATGTTATTGAGATATTTTCTTCCTCTTGTAATAATAAAAATATTTGACACATTTTGCAATCAAATCATAAAATCTCCCCTAGTGGAAATTTCTTTTGGAATGCAAAAATGTCTGATATTAATTGGAAAACGACCTGGTCAAATCCTTACAAATTTTGTATTTTGAATTTTGCGTTTCAAAATACTTCACAAAATGCACCCGTGTAAAGTAGCTCTTTCTAAATTCATGGACATTGACAATACTTGCAGTTTTTGTAACACACACGAGGAAGACTTGTGTCATTTGTTTTATAATTGTGATTTGTCTCTTAGATTTTGGTCTGATGTTAGTGGCTTTCTATTTCTGCGAAGAAATGTTAATTATGTGTTATCTTTAAAAGATGTTAGTTGTACTTATTCACACAAAAGTAAAATGATTGAGTATGTCGTTAACTTTTACATTGTGCAAGGTAAATATTATATTCATAAACAGAAATTTGCGAAATGCATACCAAAGTGTAATCTATTTTGTTTAGAAATGGAAGCTTTGAAAAAGTCTCTAATGCAAATTAGGAAAAAGGAAGACAATTTGAACTATTGTTTAGTTGTTTATATATGTTTTTTTTTTATTTAGTTTTTACGATGTGGTTATTTGTTTATTTTTCTTCTCTTAAACACTGTTTGTAACGGGGCTGACAAGACGTGAGACATGTGGATCCATCTGCAGGCTTTATTTAAGAGACGTGGTAAACAGGCAGGGTCAAAACACTGGCAAACAGGTATATGGCGGGCAAAACACAGCTGTGACGTGACGGGACTCCGGATGATCAGCTGTGACAGGACTCCAGATGATCAGCTGTGACGTGACGGGACTTGACGGGACTCCGGATGATCAGCTGTGACCTGACTAGACTCATGAATATCAGCTGTGACTTGACCAGACTCAGGATAATAAACTGTGACTCGATTTGACTCATG